CATCTTTGGAATAAAGCTTTATATATTTGTGTCAAGAAACTGGAAGCTATAGTAGATGGAGGGTCAGATGGAGATTTCAGTATTAGAAGTATTCACTGATGACCTTGAACAATCCACAAAACTCTTCTAAACACCTCAATTTCCTAACTTATAAATTAGAGATATCAAAATCAGCCTGTAATCTTGTAGAGTTGTTATAAAAATCAAGTGAGAGTTGAATGAAATACATTACTATTGGTATGTAATTTGTGATTTGTGATTTGTGATTTCACATATAATGTACTTCTCCTGCTTAATGAATTTTTACAACCACCCTGGCAACTAAAATCAATGCTTCCTATTTTATATATGAAAACTCTAAGACCCTAACCAAGCTGGGAGTGTAATCCTGGATTTTTCTCTCCAGGTCTTGTTATCTTTTATATGACGAGATAGATTATAATCATATTACTTTTCTGATTTGGTCATAATAAATTTTGTTTAGGAGTGATACTATAATACCAGCGTTGTCTATAATACCAGTGTTGTCTAGTCCATTGAGAGAAGACTGATACTCTATAAAGAAAGAACCTAATATTTGCCATTGCATTGGAATTGGAATAGTGGAATCCAGCGACAGGACCTCGCCATAGTTCTGCACTGCAATTAACAGGCAGTTTATTATGCAGTTCCCCTCAGTCTTCCAACATCCACTGACTGGTGTCAGAGAAATTAAAGAATAAAACCAATTAAATATCAAACCAACCACCTAAATAAAATACACCTTTAAAAAAAATCCCAAATCTGAGGTGAAGAGAAGACAATTCAGGGAACAGGTCTAGGGTAGAAATATAAATTAGAGATATAAAATTGACAGTGCACACAGATGACACTTAAAAGCCATGACATTGAATTTAGTAATGTGGTCATGAGTGACATTAGCAAGTTCACTAGCAGGTCCCTACTTAGACTGAGCTCAAGAGAAACGGGAGGAAAGGAATTAGAGACAACAAATGTAGACAACTCTGGGGGAAGTTTTGTTATCAAAGGGACTAGAGAAATGGAGTGATTGCTGGAAGGGGAGGTGGGATCAAGAGAAAAATGGAAGAAATAACATCACGTTTGAATGTTAATGGTAACACTCTACTAGAGGGAAAAACTGATGATGCAGGGAAGAATTCAAGTGAAGGAAGTCCTTGATTTAGGCCAGAGGGAATACAGAATGCAATCTGAAGCAAACATGGAGGTTTGGTGTTAGATAGGAGATTGGTCATGCCATCTAGAGTAACAGGAGAAAAAGAAGAGTATGTGTATAAGATGCAGGTAAGTAAACAGAGACCAAGTTAGAAGCTTGTGGAAATTCTCTTGTGATTGCCTTCATTTAATCAGTGAAACAAAATAGGAAATGAAGTCATCAGCTGAGGGTGAGAATACGGGAGAGGTGTTTTAAAGGTCTGAGGAAAAGATAAGTGTAAAATGGCCATTTAGGAGAGTGTGGATAAACCAGGTAAGCAACATTAGGGGGATCTCTAAAGATTATGGTCGTGAATTTAAAGATACACCAATCAGCATGATTTTGTTTGTCTCTAGTCACATTTAGCTGTGAGGCACAGAATAGACAGAGTTGTATTTATCCAAGGTACGGATTTTTGTCAAGCAAGATCCATGAAGCAAGAATTGAGGCTACATGCAAGAAAGTGATTATAATGAATGACCATGGGATATTGCCCACTCTAAGGAAGAAAGAGAGGACATGAAAGAGGTAATGATCATGAAAAGATGGTAGAAACAATGGATTGGAGGCCTGAATAAGGCTGAAGGATTGTTAGGGTTAGGATACTAAAGGAAGTGGGCTAGAAAGACGAGAGATGATTAGCAGAAAATGGAAGCTTGAAATTAGTATTTAAGAATTGTTTTAATTAAATGACAAGACCACAGGAAGATATATGGCTGATGTAGGACGGGAAAAAAGATGATTGTAGAAAATAAGTTCAAGGAACTAAGAGGCCAAGGTGTTAGAAGAATCTTTCCTATTTTTCTCTACCGATTTCAGATCTCTTCTATTCATTTGCCAATTCTCAAATATAACACGAAGAATCAGAATTACCTTTTATTTTCTCCTTTTTAGATTATAAATTAGGTTGCAAATTACAATAAGATTTGTATGAATCCACCAATTATAACATAATTTTGCAAAAACAAATCAATTTGATTCATTATAGAGTTTAGTGCAGAGAAATTTTATGTCTCCCATATTTGATAATATGATGTGCTTTATAACTTAATACTAAATTACTTTTAGACTCTATTATATAGTTAAGATGTCAAAAATTATTTTTATTTGATAAATACAAAATGAAAATCAGAAGTTAAAAATTATTATTACCATTAGCTTATAAAATTCTGTATGGATTTTGTTTTTTTAAATTGTCTCTCATGAAATCAGAATTTAAGATATACATCACACACAAAAAAAGAAAAATAATCTCTAGTTTTATAGAAAGATATATTAACAGGTACCTAAAAGAAACACACCTTGACTTTTTAGTTAGATTTTAATAAAATGTGCTCTAATATAACTTTTTCATCAAATGTGCCCTTTATAACTTTTTCCAGCTTTCAAGCAGGAAAGCTCTAATACCCCTCCTCTCACTAGCCAGATAGACTGTGCTTTGTGTCTTTTATTTGGCTTTGAATTTTTATGTCTTTCTTGTTGTTCCAACACAGGAAAAAGCATTACTGTAACTTGCTAAAAATCCATAAAGCCAACTAGGGAAGATTACTTTAGTGCTATATAAAGTACTCATTCTCCAATAAACACTGTATTTCAGAAGCACTGTAGGCCCCTGCCTGCCTAGGGACTGAGGAAGTGGCAATCGAACTAAGGTCAGCCACACGGCAGTGAAGAACATTTCCATTAGCCCAGGAAGACATTTTGATAAATCCATTTAATCATGTTACTGGAAAGCAACAGATTATAACAAATGATGTCTCTTACCTACTTGTAATTATGTGGATTATATATTGGATGTCAGGGATTACACTCTGTTAAGTAACTTAAAAAATAATATCCTCCATGACTAGATACAGAACCCATACCTATAATCTCATCTGGTATTTATATCAACATTACTATAAACACGAGGACTACAAGTACTGTTGGCTGTTTGTAGTAGCATGCAAATACAACTTCCCATTAATATGTGATATGAACATAAAAGATAAAGAGCAACCCAAGAAATCTTTAAATTCTTAGCCTAAAACAAACCTTCAACAGACTATCAGATACAATTATATTAGATTTAACTTTTTTCAGTTCAGTGATTTCTACTTTGGTAAAGTGAAATTTAATTTTCTTTTTGCTACTAACCACCTGTGATGGTATGATCTATAAGAAATATACATTTGGTTTTCTTCCCCACTTAGAGCTCCTAAAATCTTTGGAATTTTTTAAGTGATAAGAGTGATAAAGGTGAAAAAAGAGAGGTCTCTTTTGTTATTCATAATGAGCCACTTTCAACCACACCTGGGTTTGCTAAACAGATGATGTTTGGAAAACCCCTCTAGAGAGAAGCTGGTTGCCAGGGGAGCCAAGCTCATGATTAGAGGACTGGACCTTTTAGCCTGCACCTCCGCCTCCAGGAAGGAGAGAGGAGCTGGAGGTTGGGTTAATTACTAATAGCCAATGACTCAATTAATCATACCTCTGTGGTGAGCCTCCATAAAAAACCCTAGCTGAAGAGCTTTGGAGAGCTTCCAAGTTGGTAAACAAGAATGCATTCGTGTCCTGGGAGGGTGGCACACCCCAAACATTACAGGCACTCCTGTGCTCAAGACCCTTCCAGATCTTATCCTATGTATCTCTTCAGCTGGCTGTTCATTTATATCCTTTAAAATATGCTTTATAATAAATTGGTAATAGCAACTAGAGCATTTTTCTGAGTTCTGTGAGCCATTCTCTCACAAATTACCGAACTCAGAAGGGAGTGGTGGGAACCTCCAATCTATAGCCACTTGGTCAGAAGCACAGGTGACAACACAGACTTGCAACTGGGTCTGATATGGGGGCAGTCTTGTGGGACTGAGCCCTGAACCTGTGAGATCTAATGCTATCTCCAGGTAGGTGGTATCAGAATTTAGTTAAATTGTAGAACATCCAGCTGGGAATGAAGAACTGCCCCATGGTGGTGGTGATGGTGGGGACCCACACATCTGGTGGCCAGAGGTGTTCTATGGGTAGGATACCAAAGAAAAACAGGACTTTTTTCCTTCTACTACATTAATAATAAAGGCATTTGGTAGGTGGTGGGGAAAAATTGGACAATATTCAAAGTTTAGGAACACCAAGTTGCATTAAATAAAAAGAGAAAATGTGCAAAAAATGGTGAAAATCTAAGAACAACTTAAACATAGTTCTGGAAGGATACTGTACTCATAAAAATTATTACTCTATCACTACCTTAATCATTCACTTTAGATCAGGTTGCTTCATCAGGCAATAATGTAACATACAATTAAACATTAAAATCATCTATCATTCTATAAATGTACTGAGTTTCACTGTGAATACTGAAAAAAGAATGAGACCCTCTATTCCAAATAGAGAGAAAATCTTAATAAAAATTTTATACCAGTGTTTTTCAAGCTGTATTCTGCAGAGCCCAAGAATCTTCTTCAAAGCTTTGCTTCTTTAGCCATGGGAGACACTGGAGTTCCAGTTACTTAATCTCGTCCCTCCAACTCCAGTTCTTCCCCATCAAATAGAGAAGTGCCATTTTTGACTCTTTTTTACATAATAGAGTTTTGCTAAAGCTTTTCTTTGTGAAAAGATTCCATCACTAAAATCAAACAAATAAACTACCCAAACCAAATAGTTTGAAACTTTATATAGTTAATAGCTGTTGGTAAGTTAAAGCTTCAACAAGATTTTGATTTGATTTGATTTTGATATTTATATACAGTAAAGCAACTTAACAATCAAACTTTTTGTTTCAGATTCCCAGGAAAAGTAAACACCTTACCCAGCATGACTAGATGATGAAGGTGGTGGCAAATCTGGTGTAAGAACATAAAGACTGTTGTTTTTTGGCAAGTGTAGTGATTTTAAGACCGTCTGAAAAACAAAAAATAAAAACAAATAAAAATTAACTATTGATTGTGCATTTTTAATCTTTTCCTATAATTCTTAGAAAATTATCACTATTGTAGTTTGACTTTGCATCTTTTGACAATTTCCTAAATAGGATAATACAGAAGAACTATTGAATCACAAAAAATCTCTCTCTCGTAAATATCATAAGTTAGCATAAATATGAATATTAAAATAAAATACAAATTCTTTAGCTCATGAAACGATACAAATATATAAGAACACAGTTGAGAATCATTAATTTCTTCATTGAAGAAGCATATCCTTGCAACTAATATCACTTCATTCAGGATCATTATAGCAAAAATTACTGATGTAGGTGTTCAGAGATCATTAGACCTAGAAAAGATTATAGAGAGTACCTCAACCTAAAGACTTTATAGATGAGGAGCTGCAGCCTAATAGGTGAAATGACTTGGATGAGGTCTCTTGTAAGTGTTACCTAGGTCACTTAACTGATAGGCCACATAATTTTTTTTGTTAAAGCACTTTGTCTGGGGTGAATAAACTACGCTTGGGCTACCTCTGACCTACTATCTTGATAACCACACAAAATTTCACCAAATTTATTTGCCAGAGAACTCCTACATCCCTTTCAAACTCCCAACTTGATGGTAAATACCCACTAATTCAAACTTTTTTGGACAGCAAGACACATTAAGAAACACATTTTACATCTTTACATCATAACCCAGGACAAAAATATTTACTCAACAGATATTTATTGAGCCACAAATTCTGTGCCAGGAGTATTCTAAACACTGAAGATATAGCAGTGAACATGATAGTCTAAAACCCCATGATCTTCTGGAGCTTACATTTTAGTAGGAATAAACAAAGTAACCTATATAGTTGACTACTAGAAGTGATAGTTTTCTTGACTAAACATAAAGCAGAAAAGGGAGGGTGAAGAATATGAGGTTGGGGAATTACATAATTTTAAACTTGGTTATCAGGGTGGTTCTCACTTGGCGAATGTGACATTTAAGCAAAAACTTGAAAGTGGTGAGGAAAGAAACCATGAACATATATAGAAAAAGAATATGGCTGGCAAAGGCAATAGCCAGTGCAAAATGCTTACTGAACAACAAGGAGTCCAATGCAGCTGAAGCCTAACGAGTTCTGATAGGAAACAGGTCAGAGAGGTTAACAGTGATGCCAGGAGATAGGTGAGAGGAAATGTGTTGAGACATTTAAGCTAATGTAAGGGCTTTGACTTTTTCTCTGAATGAGATCAGAAGCTATTGGAGTGACGTTATCAGATTCATATTTTAAAAGGATCTCTTTCTCAGCTGCGTTGAAAATGGATGGGAAAAGGTTGACAAAGGAGGACACAAGCACAGAGGAGAGTAATAAAATATACTAAGACAAGGATGATAATGGCTTATGTCAGTGTGGTGGTAATAGAAGTGATGCTAAATAGGTGAATTCTGGATACATTCTGAAGATCACACCAAAAGGATTTCCTGACAGACTGGATATGAGTCAATAATGATCCGAAAGCTTTTAGACAACAAATGGAAGGATAAAGTTGCCGTCAACTGAAATGGGAAGACTGCAAATGAAGACCTCCACTCTGCGCATGTAAGTTTGAAATGTGTATTAAACATTCAAGTGGAGAAGACAAGAAAGCAGTCAGATATATCCGTCTGGAATTCAGGGAACAGGTCTAGGGTAGAAATATAAATAGAGATATAAAATTGACAGTGCACACAGACGACACTTAAAAGCCATGACATTGAATTTAGTAATGTGGTCATGAGTGACATTAGCAAGTCCACTAGCAGGTCCCTACTTAGACTAGGCTCAAGAGAAACGGGAGGAAAGGAATTAAAGACAACAAATGTAGACAACTCTGGGGGAAGTTTTGTTATCAAAGGGACTAGAGAAATGGAGTGATTGCTGGAAGGGGAGGTGGGATCAAGAGAAAAATGGAAGAAATAACATCACGTTTGAATGTTAATGGTAACACTCTACTAGAGGGAAAAACTGATGATGCAGGGAAGAATTCAAGTGAAGGAAGTCCTTGATTTAGGCCAGAGGGAATACAGAATGCAATCTGAAGCAAACATGGAGGTTTGGTGTTAGATAGGAGATTGGTCATGCCATCTAGAGTAACAGGAGAAAAAGAAGAGTATGTGTATAAGATGCAGGTAAGTAAACAGAGACCAAGTTAGAAGCTTGTGGAAATTCTCTTGTGATTGCCTTCATTTAATCAGTGAAACAAAATAGGAAATGAAGTCATCAGCTGAGGGTGAGAATACGGGAGAGGTGTTTTAAAGGTCTGAGGAAAAGATAAGTGTAAAATGGCCATTTAGGAGAGTGTGGATAAACCAGGTAAGCAACATTAGGGGGATCTCTAAAGATTATGGTCGTGAATTTAAAGATACACCAATCAGCATGATTTTGTTTGTCTCTAGTCACATTTAGCTGTGAGGCACAGAATAGACAGAGTTGTATTTATCCAAGGTACGGATTTTTGTCAAGCAAGATCCATGAAGCAAGAATTGAGGCTACATGCAAGAAAGTGATTATAATGAATGACCATGGGATATTGCCCACTCTAAGGAAGAAAGAGAGGACATGAAAGAGGTAATGATCATGAAAAGATGGTAGAAACAATGGATTGGAGGCCTGAATAAGGCTGAAGGATTGTTAGGGTTAGGATACTAAAGGAAGTGGGCTAGAAAGACGAGAGATGATTAGCAGAAAATGGAAGCTTGAAATTAGTATTTAAGAATTGTTTTAACTAAATGACAAGACCACAGGAAGATATATGGCTGACGTAGGACGGGAAAAAAAGATCACTGTAGAAAATAAGTTCAAGGAACTAAGAGGCCAAGATGTTAGAAGAATCATGTACAAGGCTATATTACTAAGAATTAACACAGAGAGCAATTATAAACCAGGAACTAAAAAATCATCAGAAAATGAGGAAAGATGACCTCAGTAAGTAGGTGAAACAATTTTTCTTTTACATGAAAGTCAAAGCTGAAGGTTTTTTAGAGAGGAAGGGCTGCAAATGGAAATGAGGAACAATGAGAACACACGTTTTACCAGTTAGTCCAGTGGTATGACGGCTACTGGAGAAAAGCAAGTAACACTGAGAAGGCTACAGAAAAACAATGTGATCAGAAAGGCAGATTTCAGTCAGAGGGTAGATGGTGAAAAGAATGTGCAAGGAAGAGGCTGATAATAAGAGGAATTTGTTTAATGATGAATAGTTCCACAGGGCATAACAAAAAGGTTTCAAGCACTGTAAAGGAAAAAGAATAGAGACAGATATGGGCTGTGCAGAGGCTTATGGAGGTTTGAGTGAGGGGTGAAGTGGGAATCTGAGACTCCTTGCAGTGACTTGCATAAACAGGAGGAAAAGGCATAATGAAATTGGTTCTGGTTGAATCAAAGCAAATAACAATGTCAGGGCTGAAAGTGTTGGAAAGAAAGGTGGAGTAGATATTTACGAACCCCTTCTAACCCTGCAGATGGAAGTAGGGACACCTGGGAAGGGCTGATCTTACCCAAGCATAGAACATAATGAACTTATTCTTGACCCGTCCATGAGAGGGCCCATCTTACTAAGGGCACAGTCTTCCTTCACAGGCTTTGGGACTTATTGTTGACTCATATTAGTTAGTTCTCAAATAAAAAGAAATACTTGGGGGCTTCCCTGGTGGCGCAGTGGTTGAGAGTCCGCCTGCCGATGCAGGGGACACGGGTTCGTGCCCCGGTCCGGGAAGATCCCACATGCCGCGGAGCGGCTGGGCCTGTGAGCCATGGCCGCTGAGCCTGCGCGTCCGGAGCCTGTGCTCCGCAACGGGAGAGGCCACAACAGTGAGAGGCCCGCGTACCAAAAAAAAAAAAAAAAAAAAGAAATACTTACTCATTATTTGCAATACACTCTGACATCTTTTATCCTATTTCTTTTCCTTTTAATACTGGCTATAACCCACTCAGTTAACTTCAAAACTCACTAATGGCTTGTGACCCATGGTTTGAAAATAAGACACTGTAGTAGGTAATTAATCATAACTTCACAATCATCCAGGACGCCCTGAAGTTCTGAATCTTTTTGTCAAATATATGAAAGTCCTTTTGAAATTGATCTATGTTACCTTTCAAGAGTTCACGTGCAAACAAACAAACAAAAAACCACATGCATATACACACAGGAAAGTTATTTTTACCATTTTTCATCTTCCATTATTTTACTTTGAGGATTATTGATAACTGCTTGGTCTTACCACTTGATCATTATTGTCAGTTTGCCATGCCATCATCCAAAGATTTTCCACTAAACCTTCCTTCTCAAACCACATATGATATGATGAAATAAATGGATGCTTTCTTTAAGTCATTCAGTCATTTCACAAACATTTATTCGATGCCTGTTATACCAGGCATTGGATATCTAATGGTGAAAGAAACAGACATGGTCCCTCTACTTATGGTGTTGTGATGGGGAACACTGGGATGGGAGCCTTTTATACAGAGGTCTGTTACAGAAAGTAACATTTTAAGCTGAGACTTGAAAGATGAAAAAGAGCCACCCATGTGAAGAATTGGGTGTAAAGCATTCCAGGCAGTTAAATAGCATCTGTCAGGTAAAGTTATAGAGAGCTTGAGCCTATTAGAAGAATTAAAAGGTTTCAGCTTGGATAGAGAGGGTATGAAAGGCTGAAGATGAGGCCGTAGACGTGAATAGAGGGCAAATAATACAATACCTTTTAAACCATGGTGAGTACCTTGAATTTTATTCAAAGTGCAATAAAAAGTTATGTTTTACCAGGAGAGTGATATAATTTGATTTATATTTTTAAAAGCTCATTCTGGCTCCTGTGTTGAGAATGCATTGGGAGAACCCAAGAAAAAAAGCGGGAAAAACAATAATGAAGCTATTACATTGTTCCAGGCAAGATATGCTAACAGCCTGGATTAGGCAGTGCAATAAAAATACTGAAAAG